GGCAGATGGAGAACATCCAAGGTTTCCCTGTGGAAACAAACGGTTTCATAGAGTTCGGTCCATGCAGGCAGATGGAGGATCATGGAGAGGGCCGCCATGACAGGCCTGAACCCGAAGCTGGAAAGACTGAATGAACCACAATGGCAAGATGGCAAGGCAGCGACACACAAAACTCCACAAGTGCGTTGCTGTCATACCTGTAATGTGGGTGTGCAGTGTAGGCACAAAAAAAGTTAAAACGAGAACAACAGGAACAAAAAAGATCAAGTCGAAGCGGAGCTCCTGTCAGCAATACAATTCTGCTGTGCACTTGACGTAAGTCACTCATTACCAGTTCTATTTTGTATAGGCTTCGCCCTTTAAGGCTATCGCTAGTGGGTTTATTGCTTCACGCGCAGCGCAGCACTGAAAACTTTATTCTACACCCACCTGCTCTGTGGGCCTCACCCCCGGTCCGTATATATTATGGTGAGACCGGGTAATCGGCTCCCATTTTTTCTTCAGCCAGCTAGCTAGTACTGTCAGAAGAACGAAGAGGGAAAAGATGTCCAGCTTTGACCTGCACAACTTTTGCTAAGAATGCCTGTGTCTCCGCCACGCCAACCTCCTGCCATCCCTGTGAGCTCTTCCTCCCCAAGGAGAAGCAGAGACGAGCAGCCTTGTTCAAGGTAAGTGCCGAGGAGTGTTTTTCCGTGGCGGGCCACTACCCGCTAGACAACGCCATCGCCTTTTCTAACGTTTTTTCCTCGCGGTGAATCGGATGATTCCCTCGAAAAAGGTGATGTTGGCAGCAGCTTCACTGAGTGTTTTTTCTGTTGAGGGCCCTACTCACTGGACGACGCAACCGACTTTTCTAATGTGTTTTCCTCGCGTTGAATCGGGTGATTCCCTCGAAAAAGGCGTTGTTGGCAGCATCTCTGCTGAGTGTTTTTTCCGTGGCGGGATGCTTATGTGCGGGACGATGCCACCGCATTTCTTTGACGCAGAGTCACGCAGTGAATCGAATGATTCCTCTGTGAAAGGTGATGCTGGAAACAACCTTGCTGCCCCTTCCCTCCTGGAAAGCGTAGTGACGGAAGAAAAGCGGTCAAACGGATGCTTAGCCACCTCGGGTCTTGCCACATCGGCGACCACACCGCTCCCAGCCGTCGGCGCCCTCCTCTCGGAGCTGCCTGGCATAATCCAGGAGACTACCAACACAAAGGGACTTTCCGTCCCTCACCTCCCTCCGCCCTGATCGGACGATCTGGCGGGAAGGTTTGGCTCCGCCCCGGCTCGTTGCCCTGATCCCATCTGGCCTCGCTGTCCAGCTGTGACATCACATTGGAACGAGGTTGCAGCTGGGCCCGGCAAGCTGAAGACATCCGTCTCCACCTTCGCCTCCATCTCCAGAGTGGAGGGTTTTTCCGATCAGTGTTTTTTCCCTCAGTTCTTCCCCCGGAGCAAAGCCTGGCGGAGGCGCTTGGGGCAAAAGCTTCCAGGATGGACCGGCAACCTATCCCTCCAGGAAAGCATGACCAGAGGGTGACAAAGAGCTCTCCAACCGAGCTCACCAGTGCACATTCCAGGCAGTCGCAGCGAACAGCAACATCGCTCTGCTGGCCTACAGCATCTCAAAAGAGGATGGAGGAAGCAGACCTGCTGGAGGAGACGAAGAGCTCTCTCTGTAAAGCCGCTGACGTCATCTTAAAAGTCTGCCTGTCCCGCATTGCCGCCCGGATGACCATGATCCTTGCCATCCTTGTCCGAAAGGCTGCAGAAAGACTTGCTGGAGGGCCCCATCACCCAGAGGCGCTGTTCGGGGCCAACTTCAGGACCATCCTTGAGAAATCGCAGAGGTCCGAGGAGGTCTCAGAGACTGTACACCATCTGGTGACGTTACAGTCCTCCTCCCACCCCTCTGGCCGCTGGAGGGACCGCCTTGGCCAGCAACAGCAGCAGAGGCGTTCCACAGCTGCGGCAGCGACTTCACGCTCCGCTCCTCTGCCGGCCCCCTCCACCAGGGAACAGCTCCTTGAGGGGAATGTGTGTGTTTTTTGACTATGTATGTTTTGAAATAAAACAGAAACATCCCTGAAAGTAAAGTTTCATCTGAGACTGTCAGATCAGCTGATCTCACAGCTGCCTCTCTTCACACATTCCCCACACAAAACAAGCCAGTAACCTCTAAACAGCTTTTTAAATGACACCACAGTTCAGTAAATATCACAAAACACTCGTCTGCCACGTCAGCTAAAATTATGTTTTTTTTAGCAGACGGATCCCTCGTTTTCAGCCAGAGGCCATTTTTAATTTATGCTGTTTTCTGCCCACTCACAGCACAGTGGGAGTAAACGTGTTTTCTCCATGACAGTTGCAGCCTCCACCGAAACGGCGTTTCACTCAGAAAGCGTTCACGCTTCCCCTCAGTGTACGCCGGCTCACCTCAACTCTGATGTGAGACCACAGCCTGGGCTCAGCACAGAGGCACACATACAGACTTTTTTCTTTCTGAGTCCCCCTGGGGTTCCCCCCGGAGAATCTCCAGAACGGGTGATGGTAGTAAGGGTTATTTAGTCTGGTTGACGTTCATGAAAAACATGACACAACACAAAATGCGTGCCCGATCTCCGAGCGTTACTCGGAGTGGCACCGAGTGTGCTCCCTAGACAGATGGACGGACCGTCTGATCAGCAGGGGTTACACGCTGCAGTTTGCAGCTCAACCCCCACCGTTCAGAGGGATTATAGAGACGGTTCTGTCTTCTTCAGAACAGAGCTCGTCTGTCCAGTCAGAAGTTCAGGAATTTCTGATGAAAAACGTGATTTCCAGAGTTCCCAACGGAGAGGAAAATAATTTTTTTTCCCTCCCACTACTTCCTCATTCTGATTAAAAAAAACAGAGGGATGAGACCCATTCCCGACCTGTTCATGTTCAGCAATTCGATCATGGGGAGACAATTCCATATGCTGACAAACAGCTGCTGGAGAACTTTACCAGAACGACTGGTTTTCACCTCCATAGATCTTTAGAGCGCATATTTTCACATTTTCCATCATTCTGAAATACCCCATGCACGTTCTCGAAATGCGTGGAGACGGCTCTGCAGTCGTTACACATGGCAGGAATGAGAATTCTTTTTATCTGTACGATCTGCTCTTATTGGCTCGGTCCAGTTAGAAAGCAGTCGCACAGACCTGTAGTGAACTAAGCCTCAGGTCAAAACCTGGCCTTGAGGGCCTTCCTGGAACAAGAACTGTATTTCATTGATTTGAGTCCAGAAACACAAGATTAAGTTCATCCAGAGACTTTCTAAGTGTCCTGCACTGATCAAGTGAAAGAAAACTCTCTTTTTTTATTATTATTACTATTTTACAAATGTTTGATAATCAAAGTGTGTTTAGTTCAAACCATTTTTAAATGTTGAAGTGAACTAATCATTTTTAATAAACTGTGAAACAGTATTAATGATTTTTAATCCTCATTCAAAGTAGAAATCAAATTGGAATGTGTTACGGAGTAATTCATGCATTTTCTGATTTTCTGTCTGAAATGAGCAAATTGTGTAAGTTGGTCCAAGGTTGGAGGCAAGAAAACAAGTTGTTGGAACAAACTGTCATGTTTTTATATCCTCTCAGACGTAAATAAGAGGCTGGCACCTGTTTTCCCCCAACTCGCCTAAATATTTCTCTCGTCTGTCTGAAAAACATTTTCAATCTGTTCCATAACATTCTTGCTGTTTTTCTGACTTCTAGTGACCTCTTGCGTCACAAAAACACACCCCTGTCTGGTCGATTTTGACCAATCAGGAACCTCCCAAATGAACCGGAAATAGAGCTCTTTAAATGTCGGTACTTCCTAGTTCAAACCAGCTTCAGCGCGGGCTTCAGTCGTTTGCAGCTCCAGTCGAGTTCAGTTCTGGGAGCAGAACCGAATGGAAGAAGTGCTGGGAGAACAGAAGTCCAGGCATGATCCAGAGCTCTTCCGAGTCTTGTGGGAATTATGCAATCTTCCACATCTGAGTGGAACTTCTGAAGGACTCCACTCATGTGAAGTCCACTCGTGAGGTGAACTTGTGTCGAACAAGTACCGCCACTACTTCGGACGATTCACAGCTGTTCCTACGGAGACGCTGAAAGGGTGCGTTAAATGGAACTTCGTACCAGTGGAGACATCTCCTCCAGGTAAAGAGTTGATTTATAC